CTGGAAAAGAAGTTTTGACCAACCATATGTAATCCAGAGAGAGAGAGAGAGAGAGAGAAAGAGAGGGCATCATTTTGCCTAAAGGGTCACATGTGAAGAAGCTTTTAGAGGGTGATTTTGTATTTTCTGCTTTGGAAATTAAAATTCCAAGAGGAAGATGAAGATGAAGAAGAATCATTGAAGAAGATAAGAGAAAATCTGAAATTATTTTACATTAATTGTTTAAAATAAGGGCCTGAAAATAGGTATATTTGTCTCTGTGATGAGCCCAAACTTTTGAAGAGTACACTTTATTGACTTTTTCTCAACTAAGTTATCAAGTACCCAGCAATTTTGTCTTACTTTATTTTTCACTTTATCCTCCTTTAATAAAATTTCCTTTTCCTTTCTTTTTCAATTTTTAACCTTTTAGGTAACTTTTTCTTATTTTATTTTTTCTTATTAATTTTCATTATTACGCAAGGCACGTTTGCTTTTCAGAGAGCCTGACAGTACCCACCAAACAATTTGTATTTTGTCACCCTCTCTCTTTCTTTTATCTCATAAACCAACAATTAAAATTTATATACAAAACAAAAATGAAAGTTCCATGAAGCTTAGAGAAAACTAAAAAACAAATGTTTTAAAGTGCCCAATTTGCCAAATGGTTAAGAGAAAGAGTTGGAATATCTTATATCTATGTCATGGGATCTTGGATTTTACCCTTTTTTTTTTTATTATTATATTGATTTATTGTTATGAATTTTTATTTTTTATTTATTTTATTTATTTTTTTATTTTTTTTGGGTTTTTGTGAGGACATTTTATGCAGTATTGATGTCTTTGGATACCAACTAAACTAAACCGGACAAAGGCCTCAGGTTTCAGTGCAATTACATGGGTCCATATTTCTTACCTCTGCCCATCATCACATTATTGAGGGAAGAATTACGTTGGAAATTCGGTCCTTTTCTTTAGAGCCAATCCAATGCGACAAAATATACTGCATTATTCATACGTATATTTGAAGCTCTTAAAAATAATATGATAAGATAAGCGAAAGACAAAATTTTAAGATAAATACTAAATAGCATACATATATGTTTTATGTCATTAACCTAGATAATATGTATATCTATTTTTTTTTTTTTCTTTTTTTTTTTTTTTTGGTTTTTAGGAGTGTTCGGGCTAGTTTGCAGGCATCCCAAACTAGTTTCTCAAGACCTTGAAGTTAACAGTCAGGTAAGTTTCCAGTAATTACCTTTTTATTAGTAGTTGTGAGGATTTGAATTCAGTACCTCTTGAGTAATATACCCAAAAGACCCAAACGAATCGCCAAACTATCTAGAGACAGTTATGTATACCTAATGTTATTGAGTTTCTCATAATTGAAAACAAAAATTTAGAAAATTGTAAATTCATCCACGGAGTTGAATACCTCGCTCAAGATTTGTCAATTTTTGAAATCCTTCTTCTAATTTAAAATCATGTTGTAACATGTACCTCTTTTGTTTCAATCATATGGAATAAATAAAATAAATCAAAAATTGAATTTTTGTTTAAGAATAGAATCTTACTAGACTTGTCCATATCTCGTTCATCCTTCGAACCTATAACACATCTCAGATATGATGAAATAGGATGAACCGAGATGATATTTTGTAAATGTGTGCTTGTCATAAATATATTAACTATTTTTTTTATTGCCCAGAAAAGATAATTTTTTTTTTTTTACGAAGTTAGAAATTAAGAAACTGCGATTTGTATTTTACTAAAATCTTAGAAAAAAAAAATCTTTTCATGATTAAAAGAAGGCACTTTAATAGTTTTGTTGCTTTATTAGAAACGGGGTGAGTTTCCAAAAGTAAAGTTTGAAGCTTCTTAGAAATAAACTTGATTGGACTTTTGGGCAAAAAGATAATTTTGGATGAGTGATTTAAAAAAAGTTTAATCAATTAATGAAATTAATTAAAAGTAATTAAAAAAGATTTTGGAATCTACAACACTTGGGAGAGATGATTGCCACCTAGTTGCCTTTTTTTGATTGAGCACGTGTGAGAATCCATTTGCCCATTGTTTCCAGCTCAACAAGAAATATAAGCATCTTCCTTTTTTATTATTAAATTAATTAAAAATAATTATCAAATTCTCTCTTTCTATCTCCGACATAAGTATTGTAGTTAAATTATTTTAATTTTGGTACGATCGAATTTTTATAAATTTTATTTTACATTGACTTTAGACAGTGGATACACAGTGAAATCAATTGAACTTTGGTCAAACGTGACTGCATGTGAGGAGAATATCTAATCGGAGGCAGCTTTTTTATTTTTATTTTGATGTTTAATATTTTCTTTTATGTGTTCTTGGGATTACTGAGTGAATGGATAAGTATTTATTTAAATTTTTGTTTAAACAAATCTTTCTTGAAATTCTAAACTTATCATTAATCTTTCAAAACTATTTATCTCATACATTGTTAATTTACTCTGATATTATTAGAGGAAGTCAATCAAATTATCCCTTATAACAGTATCAATAATATTATCAGGAATAGGGTTATTTATACCATAATCCCACCGTTCAAACCCACTTCTTTTTTCCTTAAGAATTATATTACAAAAAATCCATAAAGTATTTACTATTGAAGACATGAAAACAGAATTGTTTTTTTTATATAATATTTATATATTTTTGAGTTATGCAAGAAAAGATTGGTTTATTTGAATCATAAAGGGTGACTTGTAAGGTTTCTTTATTTTCATAATAATGTAAACATATATCACATATTAATAATAATTTAACCAATTAGAATTATAATGTTTTCAATTATTGAATAAATGGTTATTAAATGGTGTTAAAGATAAAACTTTAAATTTCATGAAGGAATTATTTCTTTGGATGCTTCTTCATGTAGCAATAGCAATGATATTATTCCCTCTTTATGAAAAAGAAGGTAAAATAAATGACTCAATAGTCTTAGGTAAAGTGCGACTCATGGTTAGGTAGATACACTTGATGGTGTGCATTTCTTGATAATATTTCATTACATGTTTACTCATTGAACTTAATTATCACTAATAAGTTTATATATTAAGGTTTTTGAGGCTTTTTGCAAGACAAAATAGTACACTGTACAAAGCAAATTCTACTTGTGTGACATAAAGTTAGGTGCAATTAAAATCATGAACATTGATGATTGATTACCCTTTTATTCATCACATTTATTAATAGAGGTGATATTCTTTTCAAAATGATTCTTACTAAAGTTATTTGACCTCATATTATTTAACCTTCAAAGTTATCATATAATAAACTTGTCCCTCCTCTCAATTCTTTCAATGATAGAAAATATCCAAGTTTTATTAAAGAAAAAAGAATAATCATAATTATGTGAATTGACTTTATTATTTTTAATAAAATTATCAAAATTTGTTATTTAAGCTATTTTTTTTGTTACTTTAAAAAAAAAAAAAAATTAAAAGCAACGAAATTAATTCAGGTGATTTTATGATTATTTTTGTTATTTAGGTAAATCTTGACTTTTGATCAACCGTTTCATATGATAACTTAAAATTTAGGACACAACCAAGAGTTTATGTTGAAAATTATGATAATAATTACCTAATTGCTTTATGACATTAGTTAACAACATAATGTAATTATGAGAAAGTATAAAAGAAAATATTGACTCGATACTAAAAAGAAGGTTTGATTTTGAGGAAATGCTCTGGCTTTCTGTTAATTAATAATCGTTTATATATAGGGTGAGTGTAATTAGAATTATAGTTGTGTCCTGTTTTTTTGCTTTGGGTAATAAAGATCCAAGTAGTTAACTTTATGGGCACGTGAAGGTTTCATTTATTCAAGTTTGTTTAATGTTCTTCCTTTTTATTATGTTTTGGCAATAAAATTATGTGGTAGCTAGAGCCAAAGCTATGTAAAAATTGTAGCTTTTTAAAGTATGACCATCAGTAATTTCAAATGTGCTATAAAGTTTTTACCTTTATTTTTATAGAAGGACTCTAAACATCCCATGATTTCTACAAATTAAAGTAAAGTCTTTCATCTTTGCCCAAAGGAGAGTTTATTTTAAAAATCATGCGCTATAATATTAGGAAGAAAAATAAATTACGAAAGAAGAATAATGAAACAAGGGCTCTAGGGAACCGAGCCAAGGAAAAGACATGGTCAAGAGAGTCTTAAGACCAGTCTTGTTTGGTTTCGAAAGAGAAGATGAAAATATATAGTCAAGCAGACAATTTTATTTCACCCCGTCAATTCAGCTTTTTTCCCTTGCTTTTTTCATTTACTATTCACTCACTACTTTTTACTGCTAATTTAAATACCGACATGCAAGGTGCCATTACGAGTGGCAACATATGCCTCTCTTCAACCAAGAAAAAGAAAACATTCTTATATTTTTTTTTTAATTCTAATGTTTGGAAAAGAATATAGAATATTAAGATTTTGGTAAACTATTTTTAGATTATGCATTTTAAAATATTAAGATTTACCCTCCTTAAAATTAATAAACGTTTACATAATTAATTAATGAAGATGATTTTTTGTTTACAGATCATTTTGACATTGTCTCAATTTTAAAAACCTAGGTTTACCCCTACTTCTTAATTTTGGTTAGAATCAGGGGATATCTCAGTATTTTAAGTGCAGACCTAGACTCCCTGGAGTAAAACCAAAATTAGCCGGGGAGAACAACCTAGAGGGGGGTGGGGCACGTGAGGAGGAAGAAAGGGTCACGTGCAAAAGAATAGAGGGTGGCTGGGCCTTCAAAATAATGAAATATTGATACATGCAAATTACAGTGTGATTGAATAATGACTGTTTGTTTTGATATGAGAATGGATGTTTTTTTGTTGCTGTCCAAATGCTTTGTGTGGGCTCAAGGTTTCAAGCTTTTGTGATTGGGTCAGCTCTCTCTCTCTCTCTCTTTCTGTTGAGTGGAGAAAGAGCTTTATAAGCAAGACTCGCCTCAACCTTACCTACATAAGGTGTGGGGATCAATGAAAAACAAAACCAATAAAAGCTAAAAAGCTTAAAGCTTAAAGAAAGTTGATTGCAGAAAGCAAGAGCCTTTCTTCTCCTCTCTCTCCACCCATTTTGTTCTATTATCACTAAAGCTGAAACTCAAATAACCATCTCCCACTTCTCACTATTCCACCTTCACCACCTGTTTTTCTTTTCTTTTTCTTTTTTCCTCATTAATTCACAATTCATCCCATGTTAGAAGATATCAACATCACTGCTGCAGTTCCTTCTTCCTCTTCTGACCCTTTCACTTCTTCAGAAAATGGTGCTCTTAACAAAAGAAAAAGAAAACCAGCAGGCACCCCAGGTACTCAAAATTTCAATCTTTTCATGCTTTTAAGAATCAATTTCAGGTTTTTATTTTTGTTTGTTTATGTAGATCCGGATGCAGAGGTGGTTTCTTTATCTCCAAAGACTTTGTTAGAATCAGATAGGTATGTATGTGAGATCTGCAACCAAGGGTTTCAAAGAGACCAGAACCTTCAAATGCATAGGAGAAGGCACAAGGTCCCCTGGAAGTTACTGAAAAGAGAAACTCAAGAGGTGAAAAAGAGAGTTTTTGTATGCCCAGAACCAAGTTGTTTGCACCACGACCCTTGTCACGCTTTAGGAGATCTGGTAGGCATCAAGAAACATTTCAGAAGAAAACACAGCAACCACAAACAGTGGGTTTGTGAGAAGTGCAATAAAGGATATGCCGTTCAATCTGATTACAAAGCTCATCTCAAAACTTGTGGTACTAGAGGCCATTCTTGTGATTGTGGCCGTGTGTTTTCCAGGTTTTTAATTCTTATTCTCTCTCTTAAATTTTTGCATATGGTTTCTCTTCTTTAAAACAAACCCTAAACTTTTCATAAAAACCATGCTGAAAACTAACCAAAAATCTTGATTTCAACACTCTTCTCGTTTCAAGTGTTTAGCCTCTTAATCTTGGGTTTCTCATAATCCTTTAAAGCTCCTATTATATTTAATTTTTTAAGCAGTTTAATTATTCTAAATCCAAGAATGATTCCCAGTATTACATGACCTCATGTTTGCCCTTTTATATGATCTTGGCCAGCCAATCCTTGTTTAAGGACAGTGCACTACTATTTTCTATTTATTGGTTTCCATTTGTCTAAAATAAAAAGCCAATTACCATAAAACAAAACAGTCACCAACACAAACAGACCCCATTTCATTTCTTTAACTTTATGTTTTTTATTATATATATATAATTTATACTAAACCTAGTCACTCACATAATCCATTCTGCAGATCCCTTAATCAAATTTTATATTGTTTGTTTCTTGCTAACCCTACATGACCAAGCCCCGTAATCTAAATTAAATTTATATCCCTTTGAATTATTCTTTAATTTGTTTCTTATTCATACAGAGTAGAGAGTTTCATTGAACACCAAGATGCTTGTACTATGCGTAGAGTTCAGCCTGAGTTACAAGGTCTGCAGCCGGCTTGTTCTTCAAGAACCGCTTCGAGTACTAGCCCTTCAAGCGATGCTAATTTTAGCATAGCACCGCCGTTGTCAGGTTTACCGAAGCAAAAACCTGAAGAGCCTGTGTTTTCATTCTCCACAACTCGAAACAACCCATCAACTTCTCAACAACAAGAACACAATCTTGAACTTCAGCTTCAACCTTCAATATCAAACACTAATAATGCAGTACGGCATTCATGTGAAAACTATGCAACCCATTTGAAACTTTCTATTGGGTCAAGTGATATTGGTGGTGGTGGCGAGAAGAATATTGAAGCGATAAACAACTTGAATTTGGAAAAGAATAAAGGCAGTACTGATCCAGCTACATTGGAAGCGACAAGGTTAAAAGAGTTCGCCAACGAACAGCTGAAGTTGGCCATGGCTGAAAAGGTGTTTGCCGAAGAAGCAAGACAACAAGCCAAGAGGCAGATTGAGATTGCTGAGATTGAATTTGCAAATGCTAAAAGGATTAGACAGCAAGCACAAAGTGAACTTGAAAAGGCTCAAGTTTTGAAAGATCAAGCTACAAAAAAGATTAGTGCTACAATAATGCAAATTACTTGTCAAGCTTGCAAGCAACAGTTTCAAGCTTCAACATCAGTGGCACCTCCATGTGATGAAACTTCACTTGCAATGAGTTACATGTCCTCGGCCACTACAGAAGGAGAGTGATGGAGGATTTTATTCTCAACTATATATGTTAAGAAATACCCTCTTGTTTAAACAGGTCTCTCTCAAATATTTGCTTCTGTTTTTTGTTTAATGATTGTTCATTAATTAATTTTCTCATGTTATATTGAGTAGTTAGATTATATATAAAAATTAAGTCTGACCAATCAATGTTATGGAGTTGTAACCTGTTCTTCCAATTGAGTCAATATAAATTCATTTGTTTTATTTAATGAGAAATCAATATAGAAAAGAAAACCATTATTTCCTCGTTGAATGTTGCAGTATAGTGAATCTCCAAAAATGCTCTAGTTTGATTTATATCTTTGTGCAGAATTTTGGTCAAGTTGTGATGATGAGTAGTTTGTATTTGAAAGAAAGGATATATAATGTGTAGTAGTAATTTTCTTTGACTTTATAGCTTCTGATTTAATCATAATATAAGCTAGAAATAATTGTAAAAGATCAATCATATGAAGAATCCTAGAGATAAACATTGCATGTAATTATCTCTTTCAACTTCAGTAAAATGTTTTGTTGTGTCCTTTGGTTTGGGACCGTTAGTTTGAATGCAATTGAATTTTAGTTCTCCATTCTTTTTATTATGATTATTCGGCAGCCACCAGAAAGTGTAATCATCAAACACTGACCAAGCTGACTATAAAATTAAATGTTCCAGTGAGGACCCTCTATTATTATTATTATTGATATCTTTTCTTTACCCTCCCGAAGTTACCCTAAAATTTAACGGCATAAACTTATGTTTCCGTACTTGTGCAATACTCTAGAATGAGAAAATTAAAACAACGGAATATTATTAATCTTGATTTCCATGCAAGAAGAAGAAGAAGAAGAAGAAGATCCTTTTTTGAATGGACATAAATATAGGGACAATATTGCCAAAATATAGGAGAAGCATTCAAAGATTCTGACCTAAAATTCAACCTAAATTCAATGTTGTTATAATAGAGAGAAATAAAGATAACAGTGCAGTAGTAAAAGGAAAGGGGAATGTCATTTTCATTGCATTTGTGTCCCTTTAAATGCTTATAAAAACACCATGTTTTTCAGTGCCACAGTTGAAATGGTTATCGGCAGGCTGTTGTCCCTCTCAAACATAAACAACACACAAACTCTTCTCTTTCTCTCACTCACACACAATTTCACTTTACCAGAATACGAGTGGAGAAGAGAGGGAGCAGAGACTGCTACAGAGAACCCACCCCACAGTGACTTTTTCATTTATTTAGAGCCCAATACCCATTTTACAAAAATGAAAAATAAAACAAGAAAAGAAAGAAATAAAACTAGTGGTTTTCTGACTTTCTTTCACAATTTAAACCAAATCAAAAGCCTAGTCAGAGTGAAGGTGCACCAAAAAGGCTTCCCATTTCTCCCTTTGCTTTTTCAATTTTTGGGACCACGTGCTTCTCTCTCTCCTTTTAACGCCTTTTAATGCACCTCCCCATTTTTTCCTATGTCCACTCCTTCCTCATTTTCTATTTATGGTTTAAACACATCCAACATATTGACCCTCAGCTTCAAAGTTCAAACTAAACGGGGTTCGGACAAAAATCACTTAACTCCTCATATCTATTTGAAATTCCTCCCTAAGCTATTTAAAAAATCCATCAATCACCATCTTAAAAGCCAACGCCATCTATATTTGGTTAAGTTAAGAAAGAAAAGATTGTTATTTAATACTTTTTAGAGTTAAAATAAAGACCCTTTGAGGTATATGATATAATATAATACGCAAATCCTTTGAGGTTTCTAATTAAAATAATAAATATCTTTATCGATAATAAACCGTTAGTTAGTCAGTTGTTAAAATTTACGTTGTTATGAGTTAGTAGATATTATCGAATTGTCTTCTTAACTTTTATTTTAACAGGTAAATTAAAACATAACGACAGAAAGATTTATGTTATTTTCGAAATCTTAAAGAGATTATTGTTATTTTTTCATACCTGAAGGAGGATTAATGTTGTTAACTCTAGTTTTTAACTTAAATAAAACCGGAAAAAGTCCTTCTCTAACTCAGCCAAACATTTCACGGCTTAATTTCCTCTACCAACATAAACACAAGGGAGGGTTAGGATTAAAGAGATAATATAAAACAATTCTAGAAAATGTAATTAACAAGAGCATTTTGGTGTTTTCAATTATTAACAAAAATGGATAACACTACAGTTTTAAGGGTAAAATAGACCACTAAAAACTAATGGAATACAGATGGTGTTACCCTTTGGGGTGTTGACTGAGAATTTTTAAATAGTTATGGAGCGGTTTGATTAAAATGACAATAATTGGCATCCAAGTGTGATTTTAAATAAACTTAGGAAGGTAAGTGATGTTTACTCTGGATTGTACTTGTATAATCGCATAAGTCATATGCATCTCTAAAATACATTATTTAGATGTAAAATTCTAAAAAATATGTACCCTAATTGATAATATCCCAAATATTAACTTAATATATATAACATTATTCAGTATTAAAAATATTAAAACAATATGGAAGATACTCCAACTTGAAATATATAAATCTTAAAGATGCATCAAACACCAAAAGGTCATGGCAACTAAAAATAGAAGCACCTTTATATATATATATATATATATATATATACTCGTAACTAAATAGATGAGGAGTATATTAATTATTTACTTAAAGACAGCTAAAGTAAAAGAGAGAGAAAAGCTTAATACTTTCACGTTTTGACAGCCAGGTGAAACCCTAAAATGAAAATAAAATAATTGTAAAGAATTAAATATGAAAAAAAAAAAAAAAAAGTGAGTTTGTCTCTATATCCTAGTCTTGATGATACCCCCGGCCCAAAGCAATGTCTTCCACATGGAATGCAAGAATGCCAGAAAATTATAAATTCAAAATCCGATAGATTGCCCTACAATACAATACATTCAGACAGGTACAGCTATTTACACTCATGTGTATCGACAAAAATATCATCTTCTCAAATGTAATCATCCCTTTTTCCACCAATGAGAATAAACAGGTAAATTGATTAAAGACTTGGGATATTTTCAAGGACTGAAATTCATACTATATGCTACAGCCAAGTTTATGAAATTATTAAACTAGTAATTTGACAGATTTATTGTTGATTATATTTGATCCATTTAATTAACTGCATCAAGGGTCCAAACTTTACGATGATCAGTTTATTAAAAATTTTATTATCACATTCCCAAAATTCTCATATCAAATAATTTGTACTTTGGGATTACTACTTTGAATCTCCCTAAATTAACCCCCTATGGTACTGGTAATTACTCTGAACCCCCTGCAATTAGTCACCTAATTTTCTTTCCCTGGTTTTATCCAAATCAAGAGTAAAAATGTAAAATAGTAAAATGTACATAAACTTTTATAATTATTGAGGGTTAATACATTTACACACCCTAAAATTTGCAAAACTACCTTATGTCTCCAAACCTCTCAAAACTATCATGTAGACCCCAACAAATATGGGAGTCGAGTAAATTTGACCAAACACAATTACTGATTACTCTAAATTATTTATTACTTTCTTGTTTATTTTCTTAAAAAATTTGCAATATTTTATATTATTTAATAATTTTTTAAGCCTAATAAAGGTCTCGGGGACTTTTTAGATAAAGTGAAAGTAGGGGGTGGTTTGTGATTTATTGGCATAGTAGGTGAGGGCATTAAGGTCATTTACTCTCACTTGGCGGAAACTAACGAAAGAAAACTCAAGGGGGCTGATGGCAGAGAGTTCAAAGTAATTGCCAACGCCATAGGGGGTTTACTAGACTATGGCAAACCTTGGGAGATCAAATGAATCCCTTTGTAATTCTAGGTTGTGTAGAGATGTAAATGAAGTGGAAATTTGGTGAATGACATAACAATACCAAGTAAGATGATATATCATATGAAAAGTGAATTTTGGGATATATTTGGAAATGCATAGTGTTACTCGTTTATGTTTACCCTAAACCCCCTAACATATTACTAATTACAATAAATCCTCTCACGTATATGATATAGCTCTAAACCCATGCCTATAGTAAGAAGGTAAGGTTAGCCGTTATATTAAAGAGAAAAGTTCAATTTTATTCAATACATAAAAAAAATGAGAATAAGACTTTAAAATAGAAATTTCTTATATTATTAGTATTGTAAGGAAAAAAAAAATATCAAATGTGTGAGATTATGTGATTATGAAGTTCTTATACAATATTTGTGTTTAGGTATTGTTAGGCCTAATAACGAAATAAACTATTCACGGCCCAATGCCTTCGTCCAATTCCATTTGGGCGCACTCTTAAATCCATCTTGTGAATTGATCATCCAATGGAATGACTAATCTTATAAGAAGATTCGTTCTAAAGGTCGGCCTATTCTACAAGCTGGTCCTCACCACGAGTCAACCTTTTCCACGAGCTTAGTTACTTCACGAGTTGGATCACTCTACGATCAAGGTCACCCTACGAACCAGGCCAACTTATGCTTTAGGCAATTCCACGAGTTGAGTGTTCCCACAAGCTAAGGTAATTGGGCTTTAGCCCCAATAACCCATATTCGTTCTAAAACATGACCCAAAGTCCTACTTGCTTCTTAGTTCATCCAAAATTCATAATCTTACATGAACTAATATTTCTACTTCTACATGGATAAACATTACAAATTTCCTATTTATTGGAAATCCTAAACTAGTACGACTTAGAGTTCTTCTTGGATTAATGCCTCCTAGGCTCATTATATAAACAGAGGTCAAACCTCTCATTATGGATGAACATACAACCTGTAGCTTTAGCTCTCAAAGTTCTTATTCTCAAGAACCGCCGCCTTTTCTCGAAGTAAATCTTAGTTCCGACTAACTTTACTTCTCGTAGTCACCGTAAAGCCATGCTTCAGCCACTTTACGACAGTCTTGCCGTAGCCAAACACTCCTAGTAAACCCATTGCCCTTCTCAACCTTTACTAAATATTCTCTTCAACCATGTTGACTTGAGGGTTAGAGTGCCTACAGTAGACACCACACCGGTGTCCCCCAAGCCTTCACGTTCGCTTTCTTTGTCTTTGTAGGTCTACATGATTGTCAGTGACCTCGTCTTCACAAGATTAACCTCGTTCAATTCAACCGTAGATTTTACTATCTACATATATATAATTTAATATTCTAGTTTAAAAGTATTTATAAGAATTCAATCATATTTATTCATTTTTTAAGTAGAAAAAAAAAAATTGAGGGAAACTTTTAATAGGTTGAGTTCAGGTAACAAGATAAA